GGACAAAAACCACCAACCACACACAACCTCCTCAGCCCCAGGTTGTAGGAGGTCCTCCCTGCCCATAAATAAGGCTGTCTGAACCATCTGAAACCTTGACCTATTCCCTTGGGCTGAGCATGCTACCAGTTTGGCTATCAAACTGGTCAGGACCGTGGATGGGGTCTACTCATGTAAGGGTCACTGCAATGTCACGGGCTAACCCCATAGACCTCGCATAATCCCTTCAATCTTTCGATCCTTTATTGGAACTAAACCACACAGAGTTCTCTAGATATTTTCAGGAATCTTCACATCCCCTAGACTCCTTGGAAAGGCTAACCAAGGAGAAGAACACGTGCTTCACTACACGAGGGAAAAATAATGAAATAACTTTTTCTTTTTTTTTTTTTAAACTCAGATTTGACCTAAAAAGCAGATTCTGCACCCTTAAAGAGGGGAATGACTTCATAATCAATACAGTCTAGTTACTATGCCTTCTAATACATTTCTTTTGAAACTATCATTCCAACTAACACACTTGGCTGAGACTTAACTGAAGAGGCTGAAAGCTCTCCAAGAGAATCTAAAATGAGTCTAAGAGCCTTGCCCCTAACTACCTACTGCTGGTTTACCTGAAAGAAAAAAAAGACACATTTTTCAAAATCCAGGCAACAAGATAAGAGGAAAACAAAGCACCCAACAAGGGCTGAACTGAAAAGCTTAGTGACTCAGACTTGGGAAATTTTTCTCCCAGCACCAGCTGTCCGAACTGGCAGGAATGAACTCTCATTTCTCACAGCTTGGAAGTGGGAAAGGAAGAGCAAGCATCCTAGCAGGAAGCAATCTGCCGTGGAATAAATAAAGCCTCCAGCAAAACAAATCCTTGCCCACTGTTGTGACAGGGATTATACTCTTTGGAAAGCACCAGGGCCTTTCCTGCAATTCCAGATGAAATTCGACTAGCACAATGTCCAGAGGCAACTTCAGGCTCCACCAAAGGAGTCTGAAGCATGGACCTACAAACAAGCAAGAACAGTTCATAAACTTTGTGCAAGCCCACCGCAGGGAGCTGACCTGTCCCCTTAGTTCTGGATTCAGAATATTTCCACTGCAGTAAGTGTGCTCATACCAACGTGGGGCTGGACAGAAACGTCAGACTTATAGCCCTAGTTTTAAAAACCAAGAAATAAAAGCCCCTTCCTGCACTACCAACAGATCTGATATGGAATGCCACTTGCTGTTTCACTTTGCCACTTACATACGACGTTTTGGACTCTGCATCCCAGCAGTCACAGGCATAATGAGCCATCTCATTCTCCATATGCTGTCGGAAGCGCAGCTTCTCTGGGGATACACCGACCTTTGTAAGGAAGAGGTAGATTCTGCCAATGAAGTAACCGAGAACGGAGTTATTGATCACACCCTGGAAAGGGAAAAAGCAGGAAGAAAAAACACACATAGACATTAATTCCTAAGGAAGCAGAGTCATGATTTGTTGTACTTCTGCAGACAATCTGACATGTTACAGACAGAACTTCTTGCAGCTGCCTGTGATAAAGTACTATGTCTCCCCTGAAACTATTACATCTTTTCAAATTCACCTAGTGCCACTGGCAGTATCTCCATCCGAACAAAACAGTAAGTTATTATTACTCTAGGACTCATCACTGTCTCTGAAGATCACCTACTTGAAAATACCTTGCTGTATCCACTAGTGCAGTCACGGTATTACAACAGTGCACGGGAACTGCAGTTATGGCTCAGGACCCCACAACAACTGTACCCTTCTGTTCACAGATGCAATACAACAGGGGAGGTGTTCTTTTTTTTTGTTGTTTTGGTTTTGTTGTTTTGGATCTGGGGGGGGAGTGTTTTGGTATTTTTTTATCTGGTGTTTTGGTGGGGTAGAGGGGGTTGGTAAACCTACTCATTCATAATTTGCATGCAGAGAGAATCAGCTAGTGAAACTCCAGTATGCAAGCCACATACTGATGGTGGCCACCAGCTAAGTATCAGATTCCCAGTCACTGCTGAGCTTTTGGCAGATACTAGTATTCCTTACTGTTCCTCTCCCATTAGCTAATTGTGAAGCTTAACCTCTACCCACTATCCCAGCACCACCTGCAGCCTTTCACTACTGATAACAAGGGTCAGGCTTGGATCTCAGTCACATCGATTCACTGAAGAGAACTGACTCTTAAATCTGGGAGCAAACCCCAGCTGGCACCAACACAGCAGTTTGTAACTTAGCCTTGAGAGCAATATCCAGAAGAGCAAGCTCCATGTGCTTGCAAGGGGAACATTACCTGTTGGACAGCATCTCCCAGCCGCATTACATGGGCGGACTGCCCGCTGACCTGGGCCTTGGAAGAGTACAGGAGGATGTTGAGATCTGCCACATTCTGAAACTTGGGGTGATTTTTCTCACTGGGATCCACAAAGTGCTCAATTTCTGCCATGGTGAATTCCCTAACGGAAACAGAAACAACCATGTGTATTAAATATTTTATGTGTTAGCCACAGCCCCTCTATAAATTATTATGCTTTAGCCTCTCACAAGCAAGTCAGTAGTTTAAAAACATACACAAACCCAGAGCCAAGACAATGTATAGACTGGAACATGAACCAGTCTTGACACTGGATTTAGTTTCATCTTCAAATTCCTAATAAAACTTTCTACAAATTCATCTAGAGATCTCTGGGCCATGGTTATCACCACTGTGATTCAGAGCAAAGACCTTTGGAAATACTTCCAAAAGTTCTCTGGAGTTTTTCCAGACTGCTGTGATACCCATATTAGACACACTAACTACAGGGTCAGTAAAGACTAATTCACTGATTAATACAGTAGCCTTAACTCATATTAGAGGTGCCCAAAACAGCCAGGTGAGGTGATAATTTCTTGAAGATAATGATACTGCTACATTCAACAATGGTGTACATTCTGTTTTAAGAACTTGTCTTTAATACATCTATACTCATACATTGATTTTCAGCCTTCTTGCTTGAAATCACTTTACATTGAATTAGCTTATTATCAAGAACCTTTGAAAAAGCTCTAGGTAATCATTAACCTTAAATCACAGGCATCAGGATGTAATTTGCTATGATAGCATAATAACACAGTCTCCAATAAATGTGCCACAAGCGTATAATTTATATTTGACTGAAAATGCATTTCAATGAGAAAAGTTCTCATTTCCAGATGTGCAAGAGAGAACAGGAGGACTGAGAAAATTCCAAAGAGTTCCCTTAGTGCTAATGATGCCACTGCCTCTCAGTGACATTTATGGCATCATATTAATCAATTACCAAGTTTACAACACATACTGCCTGTGTGTACAATAGAACCACGCTGACTGTGCATGGGAGCTCTTGTTCCAAATTAGACAGAAGAGACTTCTGTTCAGAATAGTGCAGTTAAAATACAGATATTATCCCTAATGAAATGCAATAATCACTTTTATCCTGAGAGAGAAAGCTTTGAAAGTAATTCTCAATAACCCTGAGCTTTCCTGCTTGACTGATCTTGGGACACAAACACATGTCCCGAGTCAGGTTATCTCCCAACTTCCTCTCTGCAGTAAGTTGCAGAACTGCAGAATCTGCAGAACTGAGACAAGGAAATACTGCTGCAAGATCAATCACGTTTTGCTTCCAGATTTCAGTTTTACAGTAAGTCGCATGAACATAATTAAACAAGCAAAGCTGCATGTCTTGTAGAGAACAAAGCTACCTTAAATATGATTCATTTACATTATGATGGAAGCCAAATTTTCTTAGTAATATTGAGTTTAATCTAGATGTTTCTAATACAACAGCTATTTCAGAGATCTTACTTCTCACCAGCGAGGCTTAGATAGAATTCTGTAGTTAAAACCTTAACTAAATGAGTTCTTTGCCCATGAACGCTGAGACTCACTAGGCACATTATCAGGAGTCCTCTGGAAGAAAGCACTAATGTGAAACAATCATGTACAAACACTGGAACAAAAGGAAGGTGCTACCTGCTCCCAGGTACCCTTCTGTTGAAAGAGGAAATTTGCAGTACCTCACTCTGATAAGGCCGGAGCGAGGTGAGATCTCATTTCTGAAGGAATTTCCAATCTGGGCAGCAGCAAAAGGCAGTTTGCCTTGGTTAAACTCCAGAAGACGTTTGAAGTTGAGGAATATTCCCTGTGCAGTTTCTGGCCTCAGATAGCTGAAAGGAGACAGGGGAGAGGAAATTCAGGAAGATAAAAGGGTGGGGAAAGCAGTGAGAAAGAAAAAACAGTTACTACAAAATTTAAAGGTGGTACTTTTTCTCTTGAGTCTTTTAACTCCAGACACAAAACAATGAAGCAACAGACTGAGGGGAAAAACACAAACAAACATCAGCTGCAGCCCAAACACAGCACTCCATAGTTACTCCCGAAAGTAAATTGAATGACTTGACTGCTTTTGAGATGCAAGCATGGAATGGAAAGAGATGTTTGAATGAAATACAGCGGCCAGTTACATCATGGAGGTCAGAAGGAACGTACCCTCCTTTCCCTTCCTATGTAGGCCTGAGCTGTTCCAGGCTGCTTACAAACGAGGATTTTGCAGGCAAACCATGACTACGCCTCTTGATACAGAAACTGTGAAGTGGCTTTAGCGTAAGGCCCCTACAACCCTTACAGTGATTTGAGACTTCTACAGAGAATACCACTTACACAGACTATTTCATGTACTGGAGAACACATACAACATGTATCTCTAACCCCATCCCAGAACATATGCAAGGACCATATTCTCCACTTTTCAACAAGAGTTTCAGTTTTAGTTTTGGAGACCCTAGCTCAAGACAATAGCCTCCATATTCTCACACAACTACAAACACCTAGTAAATGATGCTACCACTGGATCACGCTGCTAAGTAACTTCATCCTGAAACAGGTATGCTGAAGCAGGTTCTCTATAGCCATAAAGTCACTGACAACTGGGGAGCCAACGTTAACTGGCTTTATGAAAACAACTCCAACCAGCAAGGGCATAGTTGTGATCCACATAGTTGCTGCTTCAAGTATTTTTGTGATTCTGCAACAGCTCCTTGTTTCTCCTATCTTTCACCAAGAGTACAAGTAATACTAAGCTGCCAGAGAAGACTGGGACTGAAAGGCAGCGGAAGGTTATTCAAGAAGAAATTGCATATTTCGATCCTTTTGAGACTTCATTTTTGTTCCAAGCGATGCAGAATATGAAGAAGGGAGAGTGTAAGCAGAACGAGATTAGTACCTACCCAGGCATGTTTCCTCCAGGCCCAATGGAGGTCTTGAACATCAGATTGAAAGAAACAGGAGGCGACAGGTCATTCCCAGTGATAGGTGATTTCACGTTGTAGTTCACAAAGAGGTCTGCAAGTTCTTGCTGGCCATAATTGTCCAACTAATATCAAAACACAGGAGAATTATTTTAATTACTAGACAAGATAACAGGAATGAATTATGTCCTTTTCATCTTTTACTGAGCGTGATCCACAGCTCTGAATCACCTGCCCAAAATATTCCCTTTCAACCTAAATTTTCAAGCAAGCTGAAGTTTGAAGCGATGATATACACTGCACATCTGCAAACCTGTTATAGTAACACAGGTCCACAATTCGGTCATACCACAGAAAGACTGAAGTCTAGATAGAAATGCAAACATTGAGCATAAGAGTGGGTGTAAAGCAGAAGAAAATCATTGGGACTGCATCACCACCCACCAGTAGCTTCTTTTGAACAGTTTCAGCTAAAACATGGGGAGCAGTGTGTTGGGAAGGAAAAAAAAAATACAGCAATGAGAGATAAGAAAGCTAAAATTTCTGCAGTGCTTTGTCCACATTCTTTTCTTTCTTCTGCTGCATGAAATACAATATTCAAGCTGTGCAGTAGATGCTCTCTTTTAGAGCTGTTCTGCATTTTAGTTAAATAAAGCAAATCTGCAGCTTCTTGGTGAAAGATTTTCCACTTGCTCTGAAAACAATTTGGTAATGACTGGATGCTTTCACAAGCGGGATAATGTCAGCCCCTTCCAGAACCCCACTTTCCCCTTTCTCTGGAAGATGGGAATCAAGCAGTAGTAGAGTCACAGATGTAACTGCAACCTAACTGCACAAGAGCTGTAATTTCTGGCATTGTTTTGTGCATTTATGTACTAGCCTTTTGCATATGTACATTTAAATGTAGTTTTTCGAGTTAAGTACCATAAAGGATCTATATTGAACAGTACAGCAGTGATTTAACACTCAAGTTCAAAATCAAATGAGCTGCTTCTAGCATGAATTGTCATGATCCTTCATATATCAGAGAAAACTCAAGACAGGAGATAAAAAGAGTTTATTAATAGAGGGATTCCCCTAAAGGATGGTCAAAGTTCAGTATTGTAGTGTGGAAAACCTAATGACAGCTGCTCAGTGATTCAATACACTGGAAAAAAAAAAGTTGCTCTTTCTGGAAGGAAATATTCATTCTGTGCACGGCTGTTGAAGCATTTATCCTAGAAGTCATGAGAAAAAAACATTAAAAACAAAGTAAGAAAAACAAATTAAAAAATAAAGGCAAATGTCTGTACAGCTGCTCAGGAATGTCAGCCTGGAGCACCAACCATTCTTACAGTAAACACAGGAAAAATCTGTGCAGGGTGCTAGAGACAGAGGAACAAATCTCAAGTGCTTCAAAGCCAAGACAACTTTAAAACATACCAATTCAGTGCTAAGGTGATTCAGAAAAACCCTGACAAAAGTTCTCATCCGCCTCTGTTCCTTCGTATCATAATCCCACAGTGAGGGATTTACAAAGGGAAAGGGCAGACTCAGAAGAAACGGGCTTCTTGCCAGGGTGTGAAGTGGAACACAGCAGACCAGCTCCAAGGACAGAGCTTCACTCCTATCAATCCAATATTCAAGAGACTAATGTAACAGCAAATACTCTCCAAAATAGCAGAAGGAAGGAGATGTGATTAACCAGCAAGTTTACAGTATTTGTCAACCAGTAAGCTTTTAGTATTTAGGAGCACGTACGGCCCGACATGTATCTCTGAGGTAAAGACTTCTGAGCATCTTCAGAGACACAGAACGGACATTCTGGGCTCAGTGCATCGCACTTCCTCTGTTACACGCACATCCCTGAAGTGTTCACCTCCCCGTGCAGACACCTACCTGTGTTAGAACATTTTCCATTTCTGCCCTTTTCTCTGCTGTGCACTTCTTATCAGACATAAGCTTTTGCAGGTGAGCTGTAAGCAAGAAAAGTATGTAGTGGTTTATACTGCAACCCCATCACCAACCCCAATCTAAAGCTAGACAAATCAGGAGGATCCTCCAGCACGAGCATAAGTGTATGTCCACCAGTTGTCTTGCTAGTGTCTGTCAGGGTAATTCCACTCATGTCATCAGGGCAATGCTGATCTACAGCTGAGGAGCTGCACCAGTTTGCTGTACTGGTGTGCCACAGGGAAAACAACGGGTCCTTATCTAGTTTCTTTCCAATACTCATTCCTCTAAACCCAAGCAATGGCTTTGTAGTCCCTTTCTCCTTATTTTCTTCTATACAGACGGAAAATTAAAAGCAACGTCTGATCCCGAGCCAGCAAGGCTAATTTTATCCAAATGCACTCAAAGGCACGTACTGACTTGGTACAGTAGGGTTAGACAGCATTCCACTTTAAAGCACAACATCCTCCACGAGATACAAAGGCAGACAGTGCTGCCAAGACTTCCCATTCTCATTTAAGAAAAGCAATCTGACTTTGTAGTGGCAGTAACAGCAGGTGGCTGTTCACCACTGATGGGCTGCAGAAGAGACAGGGACACTCCTGTTTATGACGCTGTTCAGTGTGCAAAGTGAGTAGAGGTTAGATGGGCTTCTTTTGGGTTTTTTTAATAAAACAAAAATTCTAACTCAATATTATGAAAACAGCTTTAATGCCAATATAGGCTGTTCTACATACTTAACTTCCAAAGAAAAGGCTAGAAAACTAGGGAGTACACCCACTTAAACCTAGAGCGGAACAATCCTTCCTTTCACAATGGAGCTGTACATGAAAGTTTTCAAATAGGCTTCTTATTTCTAAAATTCCTTCATGTGTTTTTTTTTGTTTTTTAAACAAATTTTATCCAATTACCAGAAAGAAGTATGAGGACTTTGCAAACTTAAGAAATGCCTTAAGTCTATTTAGCATTCCCAAAAGCCAGCTGAGTTCCAAGGTATATGAAAGTCAGCAGCTGCCGTGTAATTGACCTTTGCATATGGAAAGCATGCTCTGTCCCCTTATATCGTCATTAAATCGTTTCTCAGTTCTGAACAAAAAGCAACTGAAACTCGAGAAAACTAAGACCAGAACATGGTAGAGAACAGGAACCTTGTTATATAGGGAGTTCTCAGCTTAGACAGCACAATAATCTTTCATGGCCCGATGACACACGATTTTATAAAAAGTGAACCAACTATGTTTTTACTAGAGATCCTGTACCTCGTTTAAGACACTAACCCAACATTTGGTTGGAACTGAGAACTTATGGGATCTTTTGTGTAATATGATTAATGAACTACAAACACAAGTATGGAAGACTGGCTACACCAACTGGCCTTCCTTGAGAAAGATACTCTTTTCCCGTGTTTGTATCACTGCAAGAAATCCCCAAGCCCACCTAGCCTTGGAACAAAAGCAAACCTTTTAAGAGATGATCAGCACGAAAACATTCCCCATTTTTCACATCTTTCACCATGAAGTCAGCAAACTTGTCTACATGGCCAGAAGTCCTAGAAAAGATGATACAAAAAAACCCCATGAAAGCTGCCACCAGACAGCCCCAGGTACTGTGTGATTCCAGTGGACAGACCATTATCAAAGAGAAGTCCTTCAAACTATGCGCCCGAAGTGCAGGCTCACTCTTGCTTCAGATTATAGATTCACATTAAGCAGTACTATCCCACAGAAAATCTGATCTGTGAGAAAGTACCAATACATCTAAATCTTAACATGTGTCACTAAGATGACAGTTAGTGCCTTTAGGAACTGCATTGTGATCAAAGCAAGACATGGATGTAGTTGTGAGGAGTAACCAGTAGTTCAGGTGGACAGATTCCCACTATTTTACACCAGTGATCCATGAAAGCTTCTGCCCGTTATGCCATCACCCGTACAAAGCAATGCAGTTGACTCAGCTCAGACTCTCATTCCAAAAGCTCCTGACACATTTAGCAAACCTGTGGGTAGTCTTAGCGGAGATACGTGCAGGTGAAAGGGTCCAGAGTCTGAACTATGCTCTCACCCTGGAAGATGGTCCCTCTACCTGGTCTGTGGATAAAAAGAGGGCTTCAATCCCCAGGGCTACAGAAGCATCATTTGCATTCAGAGCTCAATTAACACATTGCATATTGCCATCCCTCCACAAAGAAGGGAAGGACGGTCAAGCAACCTGGCCACTGTCCTAAACTATGACCCAGGTGTCCCAGATTTAGGCAAGTCACCTAATCCTTCTTGTCTTCTTGATCTTTTATAAAAAGGGATATTGGCAATTTCTTGCCTAATGGGACTGATAGGAGACATTGAGACATTAGACTCTCAGACACAAGTGCCACTGCTCTCCCTGATTTATGGAACAACAGCTTCTCATACTGACCTGTGCACTGATATCTAATTATTTTGCACTGCAACAAGGTATGAAATTGGGTGACCTAGTCTCAAGATCCCTGTGGGTAATTTTACAGAAGATGGGTAAAAAGCAACTACGACCAGAAATGACATGCTGCAGGAAAAAGACCCATATTTACTTCAGAACTGGCTCTGGCGTGAGCATGGTACAGTCAATCTCCAGGATTTGCTCTTCCTGAATAAAGTGCTGTCTCCATGCCTGGATGATGTTGTTCTTCAAAGCACACCCAACAGGCCCGAAGTCATACAGACCACTGACACCTGCAAAGAGGAAAAAAGTAAAAAAATGTAGTAGGTGTGAGATTATATGAACCTTGGAGCAAATGTCCTCCCTTCTCACTGTTTCCATTAGTTGTATTAAGTCTGAGGTCAGTTCCTGAATATGAAGCATCAGTTTCTCTGTGCTAAACAGAATATGGAATGTGACCCATACATAAAGGCTGAAAGTAAACCCTAGGAAGCACCTAAACAGACGCTGCCCTATACACTAACCAATACAGTTCAGTTGCAGAGTGTACTGGGGCGTCAGGTAGTGGTAGAAGCTGAAACTGATAAATACCTGCAATCAACAACTGTGAAAGCCACACTCCCTCCACCAATGGATTATATTTTGTGGAGAGTTTTGTGGGAGCAATCTATCTGAAGGAGGAATCTGAATACAGAGGAAGTGATAATGCATGTGCCCATGCCATATGTTATTGTCAGCAATAAAGCATATCTGCCAATCGCTGGTTTAGGCACAAAGACGAAAAAAGAAACAAAAAGAATCAATAAAACAACCCAGAGTATTTATTTCAGTACCTTAGCTGAAAGAGCAGTAAACATACAGGCACTGTGCTGCACCCCCCGCCCCGAGCTGCCTCAAATCACAGGCAAAACCCCAATCTGAAGGGGTTTAACAGCCACATTTGTTCATCTGCTCAATAGAAGTTCATTGACAAAGTTCATTAACGTAACAGGTTCTAAAGTTCACAGTAGTTTTGAGCATTATCTTGCCAAGGAAAGCTCAGATAGAGATGAAAGGTTACAAGGAAATAAGCTGATCACCCCCTTAAATGCCAAAACATCCTACCCCTCTGCAAAAAAATCATCTTCTACAATGTAATGGTCAGAACTTGCATCCTGAAGTCCACTCATTTACATTCAGAAAGCAAAAGACAAATTTTGAGCCCCCCTCCCTCCCCCAAAGACTTTAGGAAGGGGAAAACTTTTGAAAGGTTTACAGATTCAAGCAGGACAGCTTAAAGCCAACTTTAAAAAAAATTCTTTTATGTTGCATTAATACAACATCGCAAGTACAGCATTTCACACAGCTAGAAAGACTAGAACATTAGCCTAAAGGGATTAAAATGTAAATTTCTTCAAATCCATACCTCCATAAATAGAAAAGGCTTGATCATAGAAAAACCTCCTTTTCAGGGTGTCTTCCATTTTAACTCTGTCCACAATGTCATCTTTGGGCTGTAAGGCCAGCTCCTGTAATTCAAGCAAACCGAAAACAGTTAATAGCTCCAGTTTCTGGCAGGAGGACAAATCCTCTCCATTCATCACTATGAGTCAAAAGTCTGTAAAGACCATTTTGAAGCAAAGGTATCCTGCCAACATGCCCATCTTCCAAAGAGGAATGGTCACACTGAGATTCAAGCGCTCGATTACGAACGTGATTGTCTGAATGCAGCATTTTAGACACTCGAGGTGGACTCATCTGCCCTAACTTTCAGACAACTAAGTCTGAGCTGGTTATCCTCAGCTTTCCTTACGATCAGCAGAGAGAAATGGCCAATTTCTAAAGCAATTCTTCTGGCCCGTTTCCCTCTCCCGACTATAAAAAGAGCTTAAAGTGACTGGCTCAGACCACAAATACCTAACTCTCGATGTATATGAAGCTTTCAATAAAGTGTTCCTCACATGAAAGAACTTTGACTGTGAAGATTACACACATCACCATCCTTGTGCTCTGCCAAAGGTGTGTATTTAGCTACTTGTACGAAGAATATCTATTTGCAAAATGTAGGCTTTCACAAATACGGCCCCGTGCACTCAGAAGATTTAGTTAGAGTGCCTAAATGCCCTGACTAGACTCTGTGAAAATGTTTTACAGCAGACTCACTATGAAAACCTATGATTTTTGCAACCAACCCCATTAGTGAAGTCAACAGACTTGAAAGATTTTCTTCAACAAAGACGTTTTGATAATTAAAGCGGAGTTAAGCCAAGAAGTTCAATAAATTAATCCAGATCCTCCTAAGTGGCTAACACTATCATTTTGAACAGCCTTTTGGTAACAAAAAGTATTGTATGACCAGTAATTTCAAACTTTTCTTTTTTTAGCATCTATAAAGACAAATAAACCTGGTCTAATTTTGAAAGCACTGCACCTCTGCTGCTCCCATGAATTAGCATAAGCCAAGGAGTAACTTTGCATAAGAGACAGAAAGAATCAAAGACAGAGAGCACACATGAGAGCAAGCACCAGAACAGTACTTTTAAAGCATGGAAAGGGAATCCATTTGGCACTCTTTGCCTAAAAACATAGAAGCACATTTCACAATGACCAGGGTTTCTTAAGAGAAAGGATGGCTTTTGCCCAGAGATGGACAGGAGGACAGCAACAGTGACACAGCCCAATGCTGAACTGGCAGGGAGAAATGGCCAGCAGCACAGGAGTAACTGGAGTAGGTACAGAATTCTGTAGAGCCCCTCTTCTGCTACCTAAAGAGAATAGTTAATGAACTGTGCAGAAGTCAAAGAAATGTCTCTTCTATCCAGCATACATTCATAAACATAAATACATTCATAAATAGAAGGCAGAAAAGTGCCTGTGTTAGCCTTCAAGGGGAAGAAAAACCCCGTACAGGAGCAGAATCATCTACTGACTTAAGATATGGTTTGAGGACATAAAGCCAAAGAATTTTAAACACTCAACCGCTCTGCCCTGTTCAAAGCTTCAAATTCAGAGCCACTCTACTATCTTTAAGTAGGAATCACAGGGCTTGAAAACTGTACCAGCAGCTGCTAAAGCTAACAAGCATTCACACTGCGGCCTTCTGCAAAACTTGCAAGCGACTGTGATGCATTGCTGGAAACACTGTCAAGAGAGAAAGACTGTATTGGAGTGCTGCACTCACAAGGGCAGATGCTGCCTTTGCAAGGTCAGTCTTGCACTGACAGGGATACAGCCCACACAAATTGTGTAACTGGCAGGCACGCCTCCACACTGCATCCTACAGGCACTCTTCCAACAGAAAGGTGGGGCTCACAGGGATACCAAGACTCCTAACCTGCCTTGCTACGTCTCTCTACGGCAAGCTTCCGAGGGCTAGGAAACAGAATTGGGAAAACATCTAGAAACTACTTGCTCCAGGACAACCTAGCTATCAATCCAGGTTTCGTGCAATGGTTTCAAAGCACAGTTCTATGCTGAATACTAAGTAAAAACGACATCTTTTTACTTGGGTTAAATGTATGCAAACAGGTAGTCGTAACGCCAGACCTTACCGAGAGCGCTAACTGTTCGCCTCACATGACTGTAGGACAAATAAGGTCAACTGGTTTAAATTCACGTATACTCACATTCTTACAGTAAGTTAGCTGCAAGCAGTGGTGTATTTATTTATTTATTCATTTATTTTTAAAAGTACCACCAAAGCACAACTACAATCATTTTTATATGAAATACAAATTAGAAAAAACCTCACAGTTTCCTGGGTGAATCTGCACACCTGACTGTTTTTATGCTTCCGGAGCTTCTTTTTGTTGTTTCAGTCTGAGAAGGGGAGGGAAGCTTGCAGGATAAGGAAGTGTATTTTTACTTGTTTATTGATCTAGAGACAAAACAAACTTGAAGTTCCATCATTTCATTTGCAGAAAGACTTCTCAGAATACAGTCACATTTAAAAAAGGGGGCACAATTTCAATACATTCCTCTCTTTAAGGCTGAGGAAAACCATAGGCTATTTGAAAAAATTTGTTTGAAGTGTAGCAAAGAAAATGGTTTCTAAAGAAACATGTTCTATGCCAGTCTGGGAATTTAAATGCTGCACAAAGAATCTGAAGATGAAACTCACTACAGTAAGCAGCATGTCCTCTCACTGTGCACAAAAAAGGTCTATACAGTAAATGAAGATTAGTGACATATACACTGAATTTCAGCTTTGACTATGAACAACCTGAACTCATATTTGTTTGTTTGCACACAGTGATTTAATGCTAACAGATATTAGCGTAAGAGATAAAGAATGAAATTGCCACTAGCTGGAAACTTGCAAACTATTTCAGGAATGATTCAAACAGTCTACCCTGCCATGACTGTTTAGTCCAAATCAATACTGTAAAAAAGCATTAAGTAGAGATTTCAAGGCTTTTCAGACAAAACTGTGGAAGTCAAATTCAATTTCCAGACTCACCTTCGCTTCTAGGACCCTCTTCCGAGCTTTGAGCTCTGCCACAGCTTTGTCTATATCCACCTGGGGAGCTTTCTCTTCCTTCAGCTTCCTCACCAGTTCTCCCTAGAAGAAGGAGACAAAACACAAGATATAGATTCTTTCTTTGAATGCCATAGACAAGAACTCTCTTTCTTTCAGCTCCCCGGCAATCCAAAAGGAAGGTTTTGTCCTGCCTCCCTGCTCTCCACGCAGGTCTCAAGAGGCTGCTTCAATTGGTAGAAGTGAGAAACACTTACGCATTTGAAAGTTAGCAGAACTAGACATCATTACAGAAATTCAACTCCTCGCCACTATTGTTAAATCCCAGACCTGTTATTAAATCTCAGTGTGCAAATACATTCCTGTATGCACCACTTCATGACAGCTTTTCACAAATCCTAGCTTTCTGTCTGTGAGAATGAACTAAGTGGATTCTTAGATGGTTAATACAGGCTTTGTACTCTCTTTCTCAGTAATAAGTCTTCTCTTCCTTCCACCCCTTCCCTTCTCTTCAGAATTTATGACCATTTTAGACTTCTTTTCCTCTGTCAAATCTGTTCAAAACTGGCCAATAAGCACACAAATTTTTAGAAGAAGGTCTCATAGAAGACACATATTTTTAGCCTAATGTCTAAGCAAAGAAGGCACTGCATTATCTGTAAGAACAGTTACTGTTTTTAAAACCTGTCCAGTAACTTTGGGAAAGAAGGGGAGGGCGTCAAAAAATCCACAAAAAACCCCAATGCCTAAATATTTCAGAGCAGCAGAACCCTGCAGTGGGCTTACACCAAGGTCTTGACCCGAGTCAAACCATTGTTATGGTTCCACAAAGGTCTCTTTGCCCTGTGGGGACGATTCTCCCCTTTCATCCCAGGGAAGTGCTCAACCCCTAAATACCCAACAGCATGCTTTTCTGAACATGATCCTCAGCAGGCATGCCCAGCTTGCTCTTGGAGATAAATGAATCAGAAGTCTTCCTTTCAGTCCACTCTTCTTCAGCCAAAACCAAGGTCTATCCTGAATTACTGAGAAGGACAAAGGAGCTGACCCAGGAGGAAAAAGCACAGGGATGTCAATGCCTTCTTAAGTGGGATGTTCTAAGAATGGGATGCTCCAAGTTCAGCATTTTTCTTGCATCTTGCACTTCTCCATTAAATAAAAAGGAAAAAAAAGAAAAAGAAAAACAATCCAAAGAGATTACATTTCCAGAATACCAACTTTTTCACAAATTCTGAGCTTTTCTGACATTAATATTACAGGCAAATGAGAAAACAAAGAGAAGAGAACACACAGATTGCCATTCAGTAATGAGATTAGAAAAGCTAAAAGTGCTTCAGAGATGAAGGGGTTCAAAGGCTAATTTTATTAATAAAAGGAGGAAGACGCAAACAACTGCATTAAAACAAACACACACAAATAAAGAAAGAAAAATAAGAATCCTGTCAGGCTCCCTAACCCCGTCGGCTACAAGAACAGAACAAATCTGCCGTTTCCTTCCTGTTAACTAGTTATACCAAAACGTGAAAGTTTCACTCTAGGGCTGAGGACTTCAACTGCCATTCCTGGGTAACGTGGCAGAGGGAGGGATCTGATCTTTTTTTTTTTTCTTTTAAAGTAGTAAGTCCAAATTGCCTTTGTTGAGCTAGGGGGTCGGCAGTGGAAAAACATCAAGGTAGCAGCAAAGCAGCTACTGCTGACTCAACAGAGCTATCACCCTGCTCATTGCTGAGCATCTAAAAGCAGCATACAGCAACTCTTTGTCCTGATCTATAAGTAAAAGAGTACACAGACATACACAAGGAGGAAAAAAAAAAAAACACAACTGAAGTAAATAATTATGTTTGCTGACAGGACTCAATCTAATTAAAGCTACGATCTTGAGCCCAACCCAGAGGAGGAGTGCACAGCAGCACTCGATGTGGCAAATTTTGCTGCAGCTTTGTCCCATAGACCAGTAAAGCAGAGAGGGATCCACCCCTGGATCACGGCAGCTTATTGCATCAGGCACTGCTGCAGGAAGATACACTGCTCACTTTCCTCTCCATAGGTTAAGAGTCCCTTAGGTTTAATTAAACCGCTTCTCCACGAGGTGATAGACAGGGTTCCCTGCATCGTAAGGTATCAACTACCCCAATCTTCGTTACTCCCTCCCTTTCTTCTTGTGCAAAGATCTGAGTGAATTACTGCTGTCAGCTGTACAACACAATACCTGTGGTCCTAGCTATACAAATTTACCCACAAACCTTTCCTTGGCACCCCACACTCCTGTTTCAATCCCACAGGCAGCCAGAAAGAAGGGGTGCATTGATACTTTAAAGGCAAATAACAGTATCCAAGATACAGAACTTTAAAATAAATAAATTGGCTAGTTCTAGAGATCATAATTTTATTTACAAAGAGCTCTCCTGCCAAGGCATTATGCTGTACAATGATTCATAATAAAAACTCATTGAAGTGTCGGTGCTGGTATAATTAGAGGGCCATAAATCCACTCATTTAATGGGAAAACACATGCACAAGTCTACAAATACACGGGACACACACGTAGCTATGTGAGCAGCTAAGCAGAAGACTATAGCTTCAGCCACTTAAAGGAGGCATGTGGGGAACCCACACATATAGGCCTTGCCGCTAAAGCAGGGAGGAAGGAGAACTTCCATGTGCTGCAAGCAGCCTCCAGTGCCGTTAACATACACAGCAAGGGTACCCAGATCAAGATTCACTTAGGAAATAAAAAGACAACCAAATCCTTCTCAGGTAAGAGGGAAGCTAAAGATAATAGCTTCATCTGTGAGGGAGATAGAAAGAGAAAGCAATGCAGTCCCAGCTAATAGGAGACATATCTAGACAAATAAGAATGATGAAATGGAAGATGTGCAAAGGAGTTAATATTCCTTACTGCATCAGGCAAATATGCAACTTTAAAGAACATCATTTACTTCCAACACCCAGCACAAACTAAGCTCTAAAGGGAAGTCACCGTGTGATCCTATGGGATGAGGAAACCTATGCAGGCTGTTTTATAAAGAAAACGTGAAGAGCCAGTTACAGGGCCCTAAAAGCATGACAAAGTCAGCCCTAGCTTGGGCACAGAAGACACATCAAGCCCAGGAGAGGAACACCAGGTAGACTGACGCACAGATCCAGTTCTGCAAGACAGCTCTAACACACACCATCACTACGGGGAGGGGAAAGGACAGTCTACGGGAAACCCAGGCATGCAGCCACCCACGCACTCCCTGCCAGCCCACTTCTCCGGGGTAGAGCAAGACCCACCCGAGGGGAGACACCTGCAGACCCCGCGCCCAAGGGAACGGACGCTGGCCAGAAGCCCCGGCCGAACCCCCAGGGACCCTCCACGCCGGGCTCACGGCTGAAGCCCGCAGGGTACCGCAGTGCCCCACAGCACGGAACTAGAGGGTCGCAAGCAGGGCGCTGCGGGGCTGAGGGGAAACACTGCATTCACTCCGCGGTGGGGGGGTAAACCCTCGCCGGAGCACACACCGGCAGGGCTCGGAGCG